TGTTATCCAGCTTCTTGACACCTTTTCGCATGAGGGCCCCAACGGAGTTCACGTTTGCATGGTTTTTGAGGTCCTTGGTGAAAACCTTTTAGGCCTTATTCGCCGTTACAAACATAAGGGAATCCCTGTGGTTTTCGTGAAGCAAATTGCCAAGCAGTTATTATCTGCATTGGATTTTCTTCACCGCCGCTGTGGTGTCATTCACACTGATATTAAGCCCGAGAACGTCTTGATTGAGATTGGTGACGTCGAGCAAATTGTTCGTATGGTTGAACAAGAAGAACAGCATGCTAAGCTCCAAAGAAAGCTTCTGCGCACTAAATCGACCTCGGGTGCTGCCTCTCATTCAAACTCCACCCCATCCACATCAACTCAAAACACTCCACAAATCAAGCATGCTCAAATTGGCGAGAAAGTCAAATCTTCGGTGGATATGTCTTCTCCTCTGCTCGGCAGGAATGGAAGACGCTCCCGCCGTCAAACTCTCATCACAGGTTCTCAGCCTTTACCATCCCCACTCCGCTCCTTTAACAAGTCATTCACAAACATGCATAACCTTGCCAACTCCTCCAACAACACGCCCATTCAACAAGTCGTGAGCCATGGCTCATTCACCAATACTTCGGACGCAGAAGTTTCGGAACAAATGGAAAAAAGCTTAAACAATTCGCTTTCGTCAATGTATATCCTGAATTCGTCTGGCACGTTTCCTGGCCAGAATAGGGACAACGGAGATGAGTCATTTGTGAACAATTCGTCTTTGATTATCAATGAAGATGAGTTAATCTCGGTGAAGATTGCTGATTTAGGAAACTCCTGCTGGGTCCACCATCATTTCACGGACGAGATTCAGACAAGACAATATAGATCCCCAGAGGTATTGCTCGGATACCATTGGGGGGCTTCTGCTGATCTTTGGTCCTTTGCATGTTTGATGTTTGAACTTCTCACGGGCGACTATTTGTTCGATCCAAGATCGGGTAAATCCTACAGTAAAGATGACGACCACATTGCTCAGATCATTGAATTAATTGGGCACTTCCCACGGCCCATGCTCAACGAGAGTTACTATGCCAGAGATTTCTTCAGCGCTCGTGGTGAGCTTCTCAGGATTTCTAAATTGAAGCCTTGGGGCCTTAAAGATGTCCTCATTGAGAAATACAAGTTCCCAGTTAGTGATGCAATTGACATCGCAGACTTTTTGCTGCCCATGTTGACTTTACAGCCTGAGAAAAGGGCTGATGCTGGTGGTATGGTGAATCACCCATGGTTGAGCGATGCCCTCGGTTTAGAGAATGTCGTGTTAGAACGCCCAGTGGGTGGTTCTGGAGAGGACATTCCAGGCTGGGCTCACGAGCTTGACCCGCAACAACAGGGAAACCGTTTCTTCTTCCGTCATTGATTATGACATTTCATTTTGCATCATTTGTACTCTATTGCATTCAGGTTTGTATTATATAGGCTTCAATTAACCTAATTACCTGCTACTTGGTTGAAGCTCTTAGGAACGGTGAATAAATGTATATAATTAAAATCTGTATATTGTACCCCCAAAATAATAGCTATTTATACAAGCATCTTGGACATGTAAGGTCCGTCCACCTCGTATCCCAATTTGGCGTAGTAGTTCCTGACACCCACACCTGAAATAACACTAATCTTCTCTGATCCATGCTCCTCCCTAGCAATACGCTCGGCCTCCTCCATCAACAAAGTACCGAAACCTTGATGCTGGAACTTTCTAGGATCCTTGGAATGCAATGGGACAACAGAGCCGTAAACATGCAACTCACGCACAATCGATGTTGGCTGGTTCTTGAACTCCTCCCTGTAAGTGTATTTCTCGGTGGCTTTTCTTAAACGCAACAAGCCAATAAGGATATCCTGCTTGGGGTCCTCATAAGACAAGAAAGTCTCCCAACCGCCGTTGGCAGTATAATCTCTTCTCAAAAGTTCGACCTGGTCAGGCAGAACCTTGTGATGCACTTCTTGGATACCCACTTCTCTTGTACGAACGTCTCTGCACGATGTGCCGAAGTCCTTCATTCTGGCCAAGGCCAATTCACGAAGGTTACCGTTTTCCACACCGGAGGAAACCAATGGCATGGGGATATCACGCTGGACACGATAGATACGGGTCCAAGGAGGCACGAGAGCCAAGATTCTGGCAACTAAATCAATAAGCGCATTGGCGTTATACGATTTATAGAGACCCTTCTTCCAAAGCTCATAAAGACCGGTGCCTCTGATGACCAATGTTGGATAGATCTTGAGACCGTCGGTTCTGAATGCTGGGTTCTCGAAGTACTCGATAAATTGGTCAAGATCACGCTCCATGCCAACATTTGGCAAATCTGGCATCATATGACTGACAACCTTGTATCCGGCATCCTTAGCAATGCAAAATGTTTCACACACGGCCTTCACTGTGTGACCTCTGTTAGTGTCTCTAGCCACATCTTCGTATACCGACTGGACACCCACCTCCAATCTCGTGCAGCCGTACTTCAACATATCACTAAGATGCGTTTCAGTACAGTAGTCAGGTCTGGTTTCAATTGTGATACCGACACACTTAGTCTGTGACTGCTGAGAGAAGCGGATGGCCTCATCGATGTTCTTACCATTATAGCCGGAAAGGGCGTTATGCAACTGGGTAATGAAACCCTCTCTGTAATCTTGGGGCAAAGACATGAAAGTACCACCCATGATGATGTACTCCACCTTGTCGATGGAGTGACCCAACAGCCTAAGTTGTTCAATTCTTCCTCTGGCTTGTTCGTAAGGGTCGTAACGAGCACGAATCGCTCTCATGGAGGTTGGTTCATAACCTGTGTAAGATTGTGTTGAATATTCGAAATCTGAGTCCGGTCCACCAGGGCAGTAGACACAAATGTTACCAGTGTAGGCGATATGAGGGCATCTGTGTGGTTTACACATCACCGCAACAACAGCGATTCCAGATGCTGTTCTCACGGGCTTGGCCTTGAGCTTAGGTATTAAGTACTTCTTATGCTGGTCAGGAATCGATGAGATGATGTCGGTAAGTCGTGGCTGGTGCTTCAACTTGTGCTTCTTCGCATACCTGGTGATGAGACCATTGAGATTGACGTCTTTGTTTGTCTTGAGAGAAGCCACAAGCTCCAAGGAAATATCAGCGCAGCACTGAATGAAACGCTCCTTTTCTGGAGCCAACTTTCGACCCTTCTGCAATGCGGAGGGCATTATGTTTATGAGATCTGGATTAACTTGTGGAGCTGGAAAGATCTGAGGCCTCATCGCCGTCTGGTGCACGGGTGCTAGTAGAATGAATCCTAGTTACAATTGACTGGGAACAATATATAGTTATAAAATTGTGAGGAAAGTTCACGTTCACTTTTCAATTATAATGTTCTGGCACCGGTCGTATTTTATTCGGTACTTTGTGTGTGCAATTGGTGGGCTCTTAGCAATATGAAAGCTGTGATTCGCTAATTACAATGACTCAGAGTTTGAGCCCAATAAGGGCTAAAAGCGATATAGCTGGTCATTCATTTATGTAATAAAATTTAAAGTCTTTTTTCCGCCACCCAGAATCTTTCACAAAGATGGGATGCTTAATGGTCGACTGGCTGCGAAAAGTTGTATGTATCAGAGTTTTACCTAGGCTTATCTTCATGAAAACGATTTTTGTATAATCCGTGTAACAAAGATCAAGAAGCTTGAGGAATATGTGTAAAGCTCAGTATTTCAAGTCTTTTAAGCTTCCTGGAATGAGTGGGCTTCCATAATCAAGTGAGACAAGGTCATGAAGTACCTCAAAAACCCCAAAATTGCAATACAGCAGTGTTCAATCACAAACTATATGGCAAAACAAAACACTCATTTCTAGTATGAAATATCAATTCATTAAAATCGGTGTTATGGTGGGTCTTAACCCACGCTTCTCTCCTCCTACCCTGCATCCTGTAGACACTGCTCAAATTTTCAATTAGATCCACCTTACTATACATCAGCATGTTGGGTGTTAGAAGCATTACGGGAGTCAGGCTACAGCCTGCCGTCTCTCTCTTAGCTAGAACAAGCTTGAAGTCAGCTGTGGCCACTAGATCATATGCCAAGAACCCAGACATTACCAAAATGCCATTGAATGTGTTTGGCTGTTTGGCTGACTACTACGTTCCTCCAAGATTCTTGGACTGTCCTATCACCTCATGGCCTAGGCTTGTCGTCAGAAGATTGACGGCATTTGCCTTCAACACTATTGGTGTTGTCCGTTACAAGAAAGACACGAATCTCAAATTGCACTTTGACGATTGGAAGGAACGCACCATCGAGAACTACGTGAAAACTAACAAGGTCTTTGCCAAGGCTTGCTCCGCCAGAAAGGATCTCAGACATAAGTATATTCATGAGCAGCTCGCAGACGTTGCTGGTAAACATGTGGTGGATGCCTTGTGCAGCAGAGCTCTGTCTTTTCCATCTGGCGCTAAGCTCACATGGAAGCTTGTCAAAGTTGTTGAGAATCCAAAGGTTGTTTCTTTCAACCCCCTCCCAAACCATGACGACATCACCGTCTTCATTCAGCTCGTCACAAAAGTAAAGACTAAACAGCAGATGACTGTGGAAACATCGGAAGGTGAGGTCCAGACGACCGAAAGACTTGTCACAGACTACTTGGTCTCTACCATCGATCCATTTTCTGAGGAGCAGCTTTTAGTCGGCTCAATCTTTGAGAGTGACCATATCAGGAAGGTTCAACCAGAGTTCAACCCCGAGGATCTCGAGCAAGCCACCGCTTTCCAAAACCGGGCTGCTGATCTCTACCGTGAACCTCCCAAGGCCTTGAAGAGCGCCTAAACTTCGTGTAGATAACAATTTCTATCTGTATATATAAAGCATTGGGTTAATCAAAAGTTATAAAAATCTCTCTAGTGTAAGTCCAAATCTAATCTTTTACCATTCCGTACTTTTATGCCGCTCCCGAGCGCCAATTTCCCAAGTCCATTTAAGTATCGGGGCTAATCCATCAAGAACACATCATTGTCATTGCCGGCCCCGTAGCCTCTTTTACTTTCCGAAGGTGACCTCTCAATATTTGGTCTTACCCATAACGTGCCAGACTGAGACCTCGAGTCTCTTCTCTGGAGCTCCTGTGGAGTCAAAATCAAGTTACCAAGCGACGCAGGTACATAATCTTCAAAGAAGGCGTTCTCGTCATCTTCTATGGCATCCTCCTCTCTTGAACCATCCAGGATTGCCAGTTCATCGTGAGGCCTAATGTGATAGTGCGATGGAGATGTCAAAAAGGCACTGTTAGGCTTACTCATCAGGCCAAGCCTGGAAGAGAAGCCAAAGTTATCGTTAGGCAGCTCTGTGCGAGTGCTGCTAAACAAGTTGGATGAGAAATCAATAGAGTTTGGCAGTGATACCAAATTGGTGGGAGAAGTTGAGGAAAGAGACCGTAATGCTGAATTAAGACCGTTCTGAGTGCCGGTAGAAACCAAGTTTGTAGGGGCGCTACCAGCAACCAGCCAGTCGTGAAGTGATTGATAGTTTGCCACTGGGCTGGTCCAGCTAAATGGCTTTGATCTGCCATTTTGAGAGACCAGGTGATGTGTCAGCAATGAGGAATTCAGCAAAGAGTTGCGTAAACTTGGATTTGCGAGGGTGATGTCTTCTCCGAATGATCGTTTCCTGGTGTCAACAGGCTCGATTAAATATGACAGCGATACGTCGCCATTTGCATCAAAATTGCTGTTGAAATCGAGGTGCTCAGTTCTGGGTCTGCCTTGTGGTCTCTCTGTTGGCAGTGTCACGAAAGATCTAGAAGAACCATTCAGGTGACTGTTTCGGTTTCCCCCTGAACCAGCGCCAGCACCGGTACCGGAAGAAGCCCGCCCCTTGTGGGATTGATGCAGACTAGTTGAGTGGTCATAATTGTTTGCATCTGAGCCAGAACTGTGGTCATTTTGAGCGTTTGAGTAGTTGTTGTTTCTGTCATGGCGACGATGTGCGTTCAAGGACTTTGAGTTCACCCTAGTTCCGTCAGGCAAGAAATGGGCCAAAGCACACTTCAAGCCGAACTTGCAGTTACCTTTTTGGAAGTATTTGCAAGGTAATTTATCTGCAGCGAGTGAACCGTCTAAATTGTGGCTAAAGGGGCACGAGTTGCCTGCCTGGCAATTTCCTTGCCGAAAAAACTTACATGGAACATGACTAAGGTTTTTGTTGGCGTTCGACCCTGAGCCCAGACTCCCGTTGATGGAAACAGTACCGGCTGGTCCAGTATTGGGGGGCAACTGGTCCAGGAGTGAACCAAGATCCAACGGATGTCCCGGTTTTGATCGTGGCTGGCTCATGGAGCCCAGCAGTTGCTTTGAATTCCGAGAAGACCCTTTTTCATGGCCTTCTTGGAAGGGTATAAATTTGTCGTGGTTGACAGTCAAATAGTGTATGTCCGGGCCAGGCATGGCTGGCGAGAAGATAAGGAAACTGATTAATTAGGGCTGCAAATTTGGTAGGCAACAGGTGACAGGTCCTTGGTGCTTATACGAGAAGGCTGATTCTCAAAACTTTGAAAATTAGGCAAATTCGAGGTTATGGATCAGTCAAGAAGTGGTCGCAAGATACTAGTCGGTGGGTATGAATCACAGGTTAAAGAAGGATAACGCCCTGATAAGAAAGTGTCAGTGTGCGGCTCCTGCATGCAAAAAGTGAGGCACAACGCTCCCACACATTACATCCGATGAAAGACGTCGCCAGGTGTGGTGGATGCGCTCTTGGTGCACGGGTGTTTTACTAAAGATAAGGCTCCAGACCGCTTATCCATGGAAACCAGGGGATCTAGATAAGATGAGGCGCGAGGTACATGAGGCGTGAATGTGATAATTTTGTATCATTTTATAGATAACTGTTTTCTGTAAGCTTAATGCCGATTTGTTTGTAACCTTGTTGCTTCCTCTAGCCCGTTTTAGTATACACACAGCTAGGATCGCTTAATATTTAGCACTTTGCTCCGCCTTTAAATCGCATATGGGTGCATTTTGCCCCGCACACCCCGATGCACCTTCCTGTCAAACTACGCCATTATTCCAACATATATGTAATGCTATTAGAATGTGAATCTCTATTGTACACTTGAACACCCACCCCAAAATAAGCCTTAACGACGGTCCGCAGAAAAGCCTCTCTTTCCCGAGAACAAGTGCTTGGGCATCGAGGCAACAGTGTGTCTGTCGGCCTCTCCCAATCTTGCCTGGCGGTTTCTCTCTCTTCTCTGCAACTTGGCGACTCTCTCGGCCTGCGAACGCAAAGCTCCGTCAGCAACACCGGCACTCAATCTATCGTTCTGGTTAGCTGGCGCCTGTTTCTTCTGCACCTTCTTCTTTTGCTTCGTGAGGCCCTGGTTGGCCTTCAAGATGTCCACACCACTGATGGTCTTCTTGTTTTTGACTCTCTGCTTCAAAGAGCGTGTGTCATGACCCAAAGAGGCCATGTGCTCCTCCATCTCGCCGTAAGTCTTCTTGATGTGTTCTCTTGGCATCATCGACTTGTTCTTCAAAGCCTTCTTCGTACGTGCCTCCTTGATCATCACCTTATGCTTATTTCTGATCCATTCGGCCTTGTCACGGATGTCGACAGTCTCCTCGTCCTCGATTTCAGAATCGGAGTCGTAGAAGCCTTCTGCATCTAGTCTCTCCTCTTCCTCCTCCAAAGCCTGCAACTTGGCAGCAATATCTGGGTCCAAGAAGTCGTAGACGTTCTTACCGTCCAACACTTCAGGCATGGTGTCGGCCTTCCACTCATCGTCATCCAACAAGTAGAAGTCCTTGAGGTTGACATTGTAGACACCGGCACCACCATTGTCGGCCTCGACGTCCTTAGCCAAAGTTCTTCTGTTTGGATCATCACTGTCGTATTTCGTCAAGTGCTGTACGCCTTCAGGAATGAAAGCGGGTCTCTCCTCCTCATCACGCAACTGTGGTCTAGCCACATGAATCTTGTTCAAGACATTGTTCACACGAGCAGAGCCCTTCAACTTTTGCTCGATTCTAGCAGTCAACAACTTCTCACAAGCCTGGTTTCTCACTTGCATCACATTTTCTTCGGCGTAACACGAGGTGTTCATGATGTCCACACCAGGGCTGTCGGCGATCGACTTCAAGAGCTCCTGCTGCTCAACTGGCAAGTCCTCTTGTCTGATGATATCACTCTTGTTCATCACCACCATCACAGACTTGTTAGCAAACAAGGGCTTGATGGAGTGGAACAATTTGGTTTGGGCTTCAATTGAGAAACCACACTGCTCGGACAAATCCATGAAGTACAAGACACAAGATCTCAAATGGGCAATGGCATAGATGGACTGCATTTCGATATTGTTCATTTCTTCCGTTGGACGGTCCAAGATACCAGGAGTATCGATGGCCTGGAAACGCAAGTACTTGTAGTCGAAGTGACCAACGTACAAGGATTTGGTGGTAAAGGCGTAAGGCTGGACCTCGACATCAGCCTTGGTGATGCACTTCAAAAAAGAAGACTTACCAACATTAGGGTAACCACAGATCAAAAGGGTTCTGGTGTTGGGGTCGATAGAGGGCAAACGACCCAAATGCTGTCTGACCTGCTCCAAATATTGCAATGGGTCCTTCAACTTTTTGGTGATGGTGGCCATTCTACCCAAAGCAGCTCTCTTCAACTGCTTACATTGGTACAACGACTGGCCGAACTTCAAAAGACGGTTGTAATCTCTAGAGACTTGCTCGATCAAGGTCTTAGCCTTGGACACGGCAGCCAAGGACACCTTGTAATGGTTCTTCTCGTACAAAGTGTCCATCAAATCTCTGTGGAAAGGATGAACATCATTAATGTTTGGGAAACCAGCCAACATATCCGTGAACTTCTCAGAGAATCCCTCAGCGGTGAACTTCACCTTTCTCATGTAGAAGGCCCTGATACGGGAGATCTTGAACCCAGGTCTCACCACGGTGGGTGTTTTTCTCTGGGTTCTATTGAGCACGATATCCAACATGTCGTTGGCCGTAGGCACGGTTGGAATGTCCTTCCACGACAACTGCATTATTTCAGTGTTGGTTGTAGGTGGTAGAAGCTGAGATGAGCTAGAAAAAAGAAGGACCTCATCTCAACTTTTTTTTTTTTTTTATCGCGCCCGCACAGGACCATGGACACTATGGGAGATCAATAAAGTTTCCTAAAAATTAAAAAAAATTGATTGAAGTGGGGGGGATCTTCGATATATGGGTCTTTACAAAAAATAAAAAGTTTACTTTGATATCCCATGTGGGCTGTAGACGATGTTGGTGGGCTACTGAGATACGCAGTAATGGCTGCGAAATTAAGACAGGTCTCTGATCTGAGACCTCGTGGAGACTAAAGCGAAGCAGTACAAATCCTGAACCATCCCGTTATTAGCAATTAAAGTCGTTCAATTGCGAGGCGGTGTTGAAAAGGCAGAGACTCACAATCTAGTTGAGTTATAATAAAAGCCCGTTGCAACAATGACTTCTGCCCTAAATGTCAATGCAAATTGCACCTACGTTCAATCCAATGAATGATTAATATATAGTTACCCACCACTCTATTCGTTGTAGTGGTAGACCAAATAGTTTGGCAAACCAACCACTTCATAGCCCAAACGCTTGGCCATCTTGGCAAAACCCTCGGTTTCAATCAAGTGGTAGAATGGGAAAGGTGGGAACATGGCACCGTCTCTGTGGACATCGGCGTTTACCAACACGGCGCCTCCTCCAACTCCATCTAATGGCATCTCAGCATTCTTGTCGCCCTTGTCGTCGTAGTGATGCGCCATCAAAGGTCTGTAAGTGGCCAACTCGTGGTAGCCCTCAACGATGATCTCGTCATCATTCATGCCCTCGGCAATCTTCAACCCATCCTCAGACTCGATCCAGTTATTGAAGTCGTACGGTCTGATAGCGGGCGCTCCGTTCTCATCAAGGTAACGCTGGTAAACATTGGCGGATAAGACGGGTTTCTTGTGGGCCATCATGTCGTGAAGCAAGGTTGGTGGTGTCTCGACAATGTCGGCGTCCAACCAGAGCACCCATGAAGTCTTTGGTGATATGGTGGTAAATAGCAACGAGTTTCTGGCAACGGCCATCATGGCACGACGCTCTTTTTGCACCTTCAAAGCATGACGCTCCTTTTCAAGCTGCAGATCCAATGCATCCGTGTCTTGTCTCAACATGGTGATTTTCTTAAATCTACCTTTAGTTGCCTGAGTTTCCTTAACTGCCTGTTCCAACAGTTTGAGTGCCTGGTCACCTTCGGCATTCCTTGGGAAAATGAATCCTAGCGAGATCATGCTGTGGTCATAACTGAGCTTGTTCAAGTTAGCCCAGTACTCAGGCAAAAACTTCGTCATAGGGGTCAAAATCAACACTTCTCCTTCGTTGCCCAATACATCAGCTGTGGCAGCCAATTTGTTCAAGTCATAGTGCAGAATGTGGTTGTCTGGTAGGTTATGCAAAATGACCAGATCTTTGTTTTTGCTCCCGAGCCACAGGCCGCCCTTTTTGCTGTAAGAGTACTTCTTGGTTGATCTCTGTCCTGCCGCCAGCGTGGTTCCAACGAACGCCAAGTAAACAAGAGCAACGAGCGAGACGAGCCCGACCAATATCAACGGCTTCCTTCGTATATTGCGGATGACTTGGTTTCTGGAAAACAGCATGCCGTTTAAATCCTGAATTGAGAGGCTTGTGGGTCTGAGATTTTTATTTTGTTTTTCGGCATACTTCGCGAGAGCTCTGTACATTCACTTACATCAACAGGGTGCTGCTAATATTAGGGTTTCAACTACTGGGTGAACAACAGAGAAATATTTATTACAAATAGCTTATTTGAAAACCTTACCGTCGGCAATCTCTCTCTTGGTGCCGTTAACGTCAACTGGCTCGTCCCAGGCCAACATGTTGTTGACGAACTTCTTGTCCTCCTCGTTGGAACCGTCCAACTTGGTGAAAGAGTAAGACTCCCAGTCTGGAGCGACATCGAAAGCTGGCTCGTGCTCCTGGCCTCTGACCAAGAAGAAACCGGTGATACCGTTGTCGTTGTTCTCACCGTACACAACCATGCAACCGAACATGTACTTGGTGGAAGCGGACAATCTGGCGAAGAAACCACCAACCAAGTTGTTGGACATGAAGGTCAAGGTCAACTCGTCGTTGTACTTGTAGTCGACCTTCCACAAGGACCACTCCTCAGGGTTGTAGACCTTGTCCCAGAAGAATGGGATGGCAGTCTCTCTGGTCTCCTCGTTGGAGTAGAATCTCTTCCACTCGTCAACGGCGAAAGCTGGCTTGCCCAAAGCCTCCAATGGGTGCTTTGGCTTAGGAGCCTGCTGAGCTGGCTCGGCTGGAGCGGCAGCTGGCTTCTCCTTCTTGGCAGCTGGAGCAGCAGCAGCCTTCTTCTCCTTCTTTGGAGGAGTGTACTCGACTGGCTTCTCGATGAACTCAACATCGCCAAGAACATCCTTCAAGAATGGCTGGGCAATGATGGTCTTGAACCATCTGGTGATGGCTGGGTGCTGCTTTCTCCACTGAGCACCGAACAAGTAGTTGAAACCTCTGACGTACTGAGCAGCAACGAAGTAGTCGGCCAAAGTGATTCTCTCGCCAACCAAGTAGGTGAACTCAGCCAATCTAGCCTCAACAACAGCGTTGACCTTCTCAAGGTAGGCGTTGGCCTCGTCAACCTGCTTCTTGTTGTATGGAACTCTACCAATGATTGGGCCGAAAGCACCGGCAATGGTTGGAAGGATCTCGGAGTTGGACAAAGACAACCATCTCAAGATCTCAGCGTACTGAGTAGCGTTCTTACCCAACAACTTGGTCTCTGGGTCGGCAATGTTGAGGACTTGAATGTTAGTACAGACTCAATTGAAGCATGGTATCAGAGTGTAGTAAATCCTCGACATTGTGTTTTAAGACAGGGATAACTGTTAAATAATGAAAATTTCTCATCATGTTAAAAAATAAGACGAATTGAACATACGGTAAAGGGAAACAGCAATGATCTCAGTCAACTTGAGGCCCTTTGGACCAACGAAAGCTGGGATCTTCTTGAGAGGGAAGGTCTTCTCGAAAGCAGCATCTGGAGCAGCAACCTTGACGTCAAGGTTGTAAGCCTTAATGATGGCCTTTGGAAGAACACCACGAATCTTCTCGTCAGCGTAGAGGGTACCCTGGGACATTTTGTATGGAGATGGTATTATAATGAAGAAAAATTTTTCTCATCCACTGTGGTGGTGGTCCGAAAAACACGTGAGTGATCGCACGTGCCTCGATGCCCCTTCTGCAACTAGGGCTGAAGAACAGCTAGCGATTAATTTGGTAAAATGTGAGGAATTAAATTAAATGCTTCAATTTTGATGGGTTGAACACCTGATTTTGAGGTTCGCATTTCAGTACTCTTCCTCCATCATGTGTATAGATTATTTGCATTAATTTTGATCGAAAGTGATTTGGATGCGAAATCGCTGCACATTTATAAAAACAAAAAGCACGATAATATGAAAAGATTAAAAATAAAAAATTATGAAAATTGTGTTTTGACTTACAAGTTAGTTATTTAGTCTTCTAAGCTTTCGATTTTTTCTACTTAAGAAATAAAAACGAACCAAGGGAACCGTAGAGAAGACTTAACTGAAGCTATGGATTTCTACTTGTAAATGAAATTAGCGTTGCACTTTACCGAAAGTATAGCACGCTGTCAAAAATTAAATTTTATTAAAAGAGGCTGTAACAGCCGAAAAGGGTTGTCACAGGCAAAAAGATATGGGATTGGTTAAACTACTTTTGATTACAAAATCGATGAATATAATCTGGGTTGCAATCAAACGTATACTTTTTAGTGCTGAGGAAAGCAGGGGTGGCCCGATTCTTAAAAATGCAACGTCGAAGAGTTCCACATGGCACATGGCACAAGACAGCCCTAGGCTCTTGATCGTCACATACTAGCGCACTGCGTTCCCACAATATCTACTTTGTTGGGAGCAGGACAGGTGAAAACTCGACACATGCTTCTGACGCATCCAGAGCCTAAAATCCTAAATAAGGCATGCGGCTAGTGCTTATCGTGATAAACTGTATCGGCTTTATTCTGATGCAGCTATAACCTTACGCGAGAACGTAACGCATGAAACCAATGACAGCATGTCCTTTTGTGACTTGTTTAGTAGACAAGATCATGGATCACAGTTGTCCAATCCAGCCAGTCAGAAGCCAACGCAGCTTTCTAGTCACGCCTGACTTAATTCCATGATTGTTAATCCTCAAGAGTTTGAGGATCGTAAATTTATCACACCCAGCTTCTTTTAAGGCGGTCTCGTACATTAAACTACAGCAAGTCAACGGTTTTTCGTAAAAGTAAGTGCCAAATGCTTACATTCTAGGCATTGAAAGCGCCTAATTTGTTTGTCTCGGTAACTTTCGGCAACTATCTCGAGATTGACCGAAGCGCATTAGCAAGACGGACAGCAAAAATCGCTCAACTGAAGAGCCGTCCAGCAAGTTGGCCGATCTTGAATGTGACTGCTGGCTTTTGCTTGTAGCACCAATGATCATTACTCTAAAGGAACACAGAACCCTTGCATTCATGTACATGTTTCAAAAAGAAACAGTGAAGAGACAAACTCTGCACCGTTTATTAATGAGTAAATTATAGTTTAATACCCCTTCCGAGGCGGGCTCATTAGCTCCGTCGGGACACATCGAAGCCAATGATAGACAACATAAAAACCAGGTCTGGAAACAATCACTTCAGTTATTTTGTTTCCATATCTTTTGTGGCAGATTCTAGTGAATCATAAAGATCCAAACCTGCTGAACCGAGGTCTAGCCGCTTCCGGGTCTCGCTCGACGCATAGGGCCTTTAATTATGCGTGAGATATGACGAAGATTGATCGCATTTTGTGGCACACTGGAGCCACTTGATTCTATAAGGAAGGTGAGGCTCTGTTGGACCTGTGTCATCTCACAGTTTGAACACTACGTAGCCGCTTGGGCGGGGCAAATGCTTACGGGCTATTCACGTCACAAGCGG